CCAAAGGCACCCAGGCCTTTGTGCCCTTGGCTCTGGCAGCTGCCTCTGCCCCTCAGGCCACCACAAGACACTTTCCTTTGTCTGCCTGCACTCCTGGCCTGCAAGGATCTGCTCTCAGGAGTCCCTGGGGAGGCTTTGTCAGTGCCTGCCCTCAGTGGGGCCCAGCAATGCTTCAAGGGACTGGCAGTTCAGCTTCTGACTTCTTGAGCAGCTTCTTCAATCTTCTCTCAGTACCTCGGGATATTGACTTGTCTCTAAACACACTGTGGGGCTTATTAAAATACAGAAAAACAAATTATTTCCTTTCCTTTAATTATCTTCGTGTTTTCAATTCTTCAACGACTAATTGGAGATGCTATGTAGTTTAGCTAATGAGGAAGATTTTAAAGTGGAAGTCACAAAAATATAATTTTTCTATGACAGGGAATGATTTCTACAGAGCCTTGGGATGCAAGAGGGTCAGGGTGAAAAGGATTTGGACACAAAGTAAAGGGGGCAAAAGAGATTAGTAGCATTTAATCATTCTCCAGTTTAACAGTTATCAAGGGATTCAGTAGCATTTACAATTTAACAGAGACTGAATTATAGTTTCCCAATAACAACACTCACACCACAGTCAATTCACACAGATGTCTCAGACCTTTTTGGGTTTTTTTTTTACCTTTTGTAGATTTTAGAACTAGTTGTGTAGTGAATACATTTTAATGTAACTGTATTATATCCCTTACACTTAACAGAGTATTTACACACATCCAACCCTACTACCCCATTCCATATCAATCCCTCTAAATTCCATTTTTAGTCTTCTTTTCAAGGTAGAATTGTAGAAAAACACCTTAAGGCCTTGACCAGAAGATATCAAACAGACACAGTGACATTCTAGGCAGAAGTCTTTAGGAACTCCCAGGACTGTGTGTGCTGTTTAGAAGATGAAGATGAGGAAGAAGGGGTCCCAAAGAAACCAAACCCAGTTCCTGAAGGGCTGTGTCAGAATGGGGCAGAACCAGGGCTGCATAAACCTGGGATTGGATGGACCTTATTATAAAATCATAGAACCCTTGTCTGGGGGGGCACACATGGGGGAGCCGGGGGGGTCAGGACCCCCAAAACCTCCCAAAGACCACCCAGGACCTCACAAACCTTGTCCTGGTCTCCCTCAGCCCACCCAGCCACTCCCTGAAACCTCCTGCCATTCCATTCCCAGCTCCTCGGGGATCCCACAAAGCCCCTCCCATTCCCTTTAGGACCTTCCAACCCCCCTCCCATCACTCCCAGGACACCTCTAAACCCTTCCCCAACCCCCTCCCAGTCAACACAACCCCCCCCAGCCTCCATCCCGTCCCACCCGGGCTCCCCCAAACTCCCTCCCAGTCACCCCCAGGACTCCCCATAGCCCCCTCAGCCCTCTCAGGACCACACAATCTCCTCCTCAGCCTCTCCATCGCCCCCCAAAGTGCCTCCCAGTGTCCCCAGTGCTCCCCCAGCCCCCTGGCCCCCCTGCCAGTGTCCCCCCATGCTGGGGGGCCCGGGCCGTACCCCAGTGGCGGCTGAGGGGGTGCTCCAGGCTGACGTGCTCCACCTGGCAGGTGTAGGTGACCCCGCGCCGGGGGGGGATTTCCAGCATCACCAGCACCTGGTAGGTCCAGTCCCCGTTGGGGACCACGTCGGTGGCCACCACGTGCTCCGGCAGCTCCTGCCCATCCTGGAACCACCTCACCTGCACCGGGCAGGGT